CTCTGGCTAGTGACTCGTTCACAACAGAGTTGTGACGTCATTTCATTCAAAGTTTTTTCAAACTTCAAGACTTACATATGTGTTGCATTAGAATTATCATTCTCATAATAAACATTCTTCTGCATACAAAACAACTGATCAACATCAAGTAAGTTTACACAATGAACAACCGGTAAAGAGCTCAATCTTGTAAGAGAAGAGAGGTTTGAATACCCTGTTGAAGCAAGAGTCAGCTGCTACAAGAGAAATGACTAATCCAGAGGCATGTTAAACCAGAGATTCTGTCAAAAGATATCATCTTGATACTTCACAGGCTGAGTGCCATTCAGGGATGAAGTTAGTAGAGTCTGTCAATCTGGGGCAATCAAGTCGAGAATCAATATCTCCAAGCTCAGCCAAATCTGGGGCATTCCCTCAAAGTTACCAATCAGAGGTTATCACGTCGATAAATCTCTCCAAGCTCGATCAATCAGAGGCTATCACGTTGATAAAACTCTTCAAGCTCGATCAATCAGAGACTATCACGTCGAGAGATTTATTCAGAATTCATTCAACCTGGGGCAGTTACGTCGAGATTCGACAAATCTCTCCAAGAAGGCTGCAATCAAGAGCAGTTTATTCCGTGGCTCAAGACACTGGGGCAGGCCACCTCATATCGTTTTGTGGCACGAATAATATGATCTCCTATTCAACATAGATCTTCTCAGAAACCCTCCAGACAGGGGTATTCCTCATCCGTACTTAGTTGCTCAAGTCAATTATGTTGTACGAGACTACGATCAAGCTAAAAGCATCATGACAATCAACCTGACTTGACCAGCGCATAAAGCTGCCTCCATCTACTACAGACAACTTCAGATCTGATTCCCCAAGTGAATTCAGAAAGTTTAGAATCGTCTTTTGACTCAACACGCGTAAGTGCATCCTCAGTGGAGTTAATCAAGAGCATCCCCAGTAAAGCTAAACCGGGGCATTCACATAGCTAAACCGGGGCATTCGCATAGCTGAACCGGGGCATTCGCAGAGCTAAACCGGGGCATTCGCAGAGCTCAACCGAGGCACTCATAAGTGTCTGCGCCCATCTCTTATCCCCCAAGTGATTCAAGAGACAATTCCCCAGTGTGCGTAAACTTGGGACATGCATTCGAAGGAACCCACATGGAATTCAGTATCCATTATCTGACATATTCACTTCTATCACCCCCTCAACAGTTCAGGATGTATGGAGGTTTGGTCAGATTATCTCTTCCTTAAATGGTACGATTCAGAATTCAGCAGTGTACCTGAAGACTCGCTTCGTCAGCAATTCAATCCTCAGCAGAGTCAACAACGATCTTTGGTCTTCAAGAGCTCCCCGGTGTGTACTCTTATCAGTATCCCCGACAATCTTTGGTACTGCAGACTTCCAGCATCGATATATACTGACATCCCCAGTGATGAGCAATGGCTCCCAGCAAGCCTTCTTTTATCCCCATGAAGTTTATTTCTTCTCATTGCATATAGTTATCATTACATAACATTGCATCCTCAAAAGCGCGTAGCTGATCCATCAGAGTGGATCTCTGCGTCAAAAGAAATTCAAACATGCATACAAAGCATAAGCCAGATCAGGTACCTTACGTGAAAAGACCTGAATTATTCAAGGACAACAATACGTCCCTACAAAAGGATATCATGCCCAAAATCCCCAATCAGTGACCTTCACCTTTTCAATGCCAAACAAAATCAATACACTTTGCCGTTCTAAACCCAGTTCTTGTCTGGTAGTCGGTTCCCTAAACATTCGTCTGTGCCCATTCCTAAACACCCGTCCGTGTCCATCCCTAAACACTCGTCCGTGTCCATTCCTAAGCACTCGTATGTGTCAAGTTTCCTAAACACCCGGGTCAATTATTCAAACACTCGTTCGTGTTTAAACCTTTTGATACTCGTCCGTATCTTCTTTCAATACTCGTCCGTATTGATTCAAACACTCGTCCGTGTTTAAACTTTTGATACTCGTCCGTATCTCCTTTCAATACTCGTCCGTATTGAATCAAACACTCGTCCGTGTTTAACCTTTGATACTCGCCTGTATCTTCTTTCAATACTCGTACGTATTGATTCAAACACTCGTCCGTGTTTAACCTTTGATACTCACTTGTATCTTCTTTCAATACTCGTCCGTATTGAATCAAACACTCGTCCGTGTTTATACTTTTTGATACTCGTCCGTATCTTCTTTCAATACTCGTCCGTATTGAATCAAACACTCGTCCGTGTTTAACTTTTTGATACTCGTCCGTATCTTCTTTCAATACTCGTCCGTATTGAATCAAGCACTCGTCCGTGTTTATACTTTTGATACTCGTCCGTATCTTCTTTCAATACTCGTCCGTATTGAATCAAACACTCGTCCGTGTTTAACCTTTTGATACCCACCTGTATCTTCTTTCAATACTCGTCCGTATTGAATCAAACACTTGTCCGTGTTTAACCTTGGATACTCGTCCGTATCTTCTTTCAATACTCGTCCGTATTGATTCAAACACTCGTCCGTGTTTAAACTTTCTTGATGCTCATCCGTGTCGCTTATCTAAACAATCGTCATGTCATAACCCATGTTCCTTTCTTCGAACCTGAGATCGCCTCTTGGCTAGGTTCTTCCTTCAAATCACCGTCGAACCTGAGATCGCCTCTTGGCTAGGTTCTTCCTTCAAATCACCGTCGAACCTGAGATCGCCTCTTGGCTAGGTTCTTCCCTCAAATCACCGTCGAACCTGAGATCGCCTCTTGGCTAGGTTCTTCCCTCAAATCATCGTCGAACCTGAGATCGCCTCTTGGCTAGGTTCCTTCCATATACTTTGTCTTAGAACCTGAGATCGCCCTTTGGCTAGGTTCTCTGTCAGATCACTCTCATGTGTCACCCTCGGATCGTAGGTCGCCCGTAGACCTCGTCCGCTGTCTTCTCATACCAACCATTTGTCTTGTATTGGCATCAAGCCACGTTACAAGTCCAGTCTCTGTCTCTTCATTGAAAAAAACAAATTTCTTTTCCCCAGCAGATCACAAAATAAATAAATAAAGAAAACACTTACTCCCTCTCTCAGGACAAATTTTTGGCATTGGTATTTAATCATCTTCCACCTTGAACTTCCGAAAGGCACGCGCCAATCGTGCTTTCAGGTTTAAGACGATTAAATAGGGGCAGCTGTAATACCCCAAATTTGTCCTACCCTTTTACTTCCTATCTGGCTTACGCATTTTTGCATTTTTCTCACATTAGGTCATCTAACACATCATGCATCATTAATTGATAAATTGGCATAAGATCATGGATTTCGAGGAATAAGGGTTGGTGTATGGCTTTAAGGCTCCCATCTTCGCACAAGCTTGTTTCAGTTGATTTCTCCATTAATAATTTGTTTGAAGCTAGGTTTTCATTTCATGGACCTTATCATCATCAAGCTACGGGGCTATTCTTTTCTTCTCAATGTCAAGTTGCAAGGTTTTATGAGACGAAGCTAAAAATCAGGGTTTATACATTTTCATACTTGAGCTTTTCAGCATTCTACCCGAGGTTCATTCCATATCAAGGTATTCGCATGTCTCATATTTCATATTCATCTGCAAAGAATCCCTCAGGGCATAGTCATTATCATCTGTTGAGAAGGGGTCCAAGACGTCGTTGTTCTAGTGCTCATATAGTCGGGACATGGTACAAGATGTTGATTGTGATCAAGGTGTCATTATTTCAAATGCTTGTTGCTTGACACACAAGTTTGGTTTATACTAAGGAATTGAATTGAATTAGGGATTCACTGAAGCTGTAGTTTGATTAGAATTCATTCATTAATATTTGAAGTGGATTTGGAGAAAATCAAAGTTCTTAAATATTTGCGTGGCTTTTCTTGGAATTCAAACCACAAGTATGAAAAAGCATGCATCAAATTCATCCAACCATCAAAATATCGTCCAAATAGCCTCTCTTGGATTCATTCAAGATTCATGTCTCTTTTGATTACCTTGCAAATATTTTGGATTCATACCATTTATTTGAATTCATACAAAGGCCATTTCATTATGTGGAAATAAAGTCAACATACATTCCAATGTGTATTCAAATACATACAAGTCCAAATTCCATTACAATTATACATAACATCTATACATTTTTACCAAAACCTATCCTAATTTTCAACCATTCTTCATGTTTCAAACTTCAAGCTTCCAAAACTTCGTGTTATGCGTCTTTGTTCCAACTTCATATCATCTTGGTGTTTTCCTTTTGCCTTTGCTTCCCAATAGCCCTGATATGAACCAAACCTGCAAAAATATTGGATAAACTGTCATAAGCATGAACCGCATACACTACACTTCCAATTGTCAAAACCAATTCCGTAACCCAAAAAAATAAAGGCAGCCCTGCACATAAATTTTATAACAAAGTAACTTACTGCACCATAATCTATAACTAATTGCTAACCCCCTAACCATCCTCAAAAACAGTCCACACTGCAAACAGCTAGCAAAAACCAAAAGTGAATTCACAAATACCCATTCATAACTAACTTTTCCCTAACTCCTAACAACTTTTTCTTAACTTTCTAAGAGATTGATAACTAACTTCCATAACCCAAAAAATAGTAACAACCCTATAACTAACTTAACAAACCCAAAACAGCTTCCATAACCATAACTAACTTAACTGTAACAAACTCCTAACTACATCTTAACTTCCTAACAGAATTTTTGTTAACTACCTCCTATAACAAACTGCCAGTACATATATAACAAATGGACAGAATAGGGAGAGAGAGAGGATTCAACAAACATGTAACAGATTGGGAGCAGGGAGAAATTATTCACAGGATACAATTATTCATAGAAAATCTCAGAGAAGAACTGCAAAAGAACTCACCAGAAAAATCTTCAGTCTTCACCTCTCTGCACTCTCATTTTTCTCGGCATCACAATAGTATCAATCATCGATCTGCTTTATAATCATCATTTTCTGCGCTTCAATCTTCATCAGCAAGACGTGAACACTGTTGCAGCTTCGTGTCATCATCAACCTCCAAGGTTCTCTTCAACTTTGAATCTCTCGCATCATCATATGCATCTTCATCAAACTTCAATCTGCATCAGGCAATCTTCACCCTCATAGCAATCGTTTCTTCAAGCATCTTCAACCTTCAACAAAGGCTTCACTTCATCTCAATTTTCTAATCAATCTTCAAGTACATAGCACCATTTTCCACAACCGCAACTGCTGGATTATTCATCATCACCATCGATCTGTGAATATCTTCATCTTCATCACCTTCCATTTGTTATGCAAAGCCTCATCATCCTCGATCCATCATGTGAATCACATCGCAGCAAGCACAATACTTCTGCAAGAACGAAAAAGAAGTCGCGACATCAAAATTCACTGAGAATCACAACGAAGACGCGAACAGAAACAAAAGCAGAAATTAGAAGAGACGAGAAGAAGAGGAAGAATCGAGAGAGAATCACATACCCGATCCGCTGTTCTCTGGATCTCTCGTCGTATTCGTCAAGTTTGAAGACGCGCTGGATGAGCTCCGACTGATAAGTCACATTTCCTCTTCTCTTTTCTGGTTTTGATTTGAGGTCTGAATTGTTTGGATCAGAACAATTGTGGTAGCAGGTTGAAATTGCCGCCATTAAAAAGAAATATTCACCGCGGGCTGCGTCTTTGAGAGAGACAAAGAGAATCGTTGAAAACGAGTGAAGGTGATGATCCTTAAGTCAAATCAGAGATGTTGAACAGCGTACTACTTCTCTATGATGGCGGTGCAATGTTGTTTCATTCACCGAAGAGGACAAAGCAGAGATGGAAAGAGAGAATCGCAGAGTCGAACAAGAGAGAGTTCGCGAAAATGATGAGCAATGATGAAACAGTATCGGAGTTATGAAGCACAACTTGCCGCGTGAGGCCGATCAGAGTGAGACGGCGGCGGTAGTTCGTTCACACGGCGCTGTTTAGAAGAGAGGAAGAGATTTTTTTCTCTCAAACCCTAATCCCTTTTCATTTTTTACATATCTTTTCTTTTTTTTAATTGTTGCATTATTTTATTATTCTTTAATTCAAAGTAATAATAATTATATTAAGTAAATAATGTTGAATAAGAAAAAGCTGAATCAAGTCCATGGATAAGGATGGACCGAAAAATCCTAAGGCCCACCATCAAATTTTTGATAGATTTTAGATCATGCACAAAAAAATGCTTATTGGACTCACTCTTGTTGGGCCTGGTGCCATTTTAATTTTTGCTTGCAGCATACCCTGAATTCAGCTCATACCCACTAACTCTTCTAATTTTTTTCTTTTCTTTTATTATTTTAGTTTGTTCTTTTAGTCTAATTTTTTTCCTCTCAATTGATAATAAAAATAATAGAATATTTTAGAATTCTTTAGAATTTCTTTTTAGAATTTCGATTAGAATTTTTTCTATTTTTATTTTTCATACTCGATAATCCTTTTATTGCCATTTTCTAGTCAAGATTTTTGTAGCATCGACATAACTCTTACAATGTGGAATGCTCGGGGTGAATTCTTCAATCACTTGCCCAAGGGAACTTTGATAGAATTTTCTTACCGCTTGCACAATTTTGAAGAGGCAACGGACCTTCTCCGTTCGGTATCGTCACAACCCTATTTTTTTCAGTACTTTATCGCAAATCCAGATGCACGATAACATTAGGTTTAGAAGTAAGCTAGTCCCATTTGACTTTTCTTTCTCTTTGAACATACGCGCCTAAAACTAAAACTTCTTTTCTTTCAAAATTCAAAACACTTTAAAACTATTGATGAGAATCATGCTTTTGCTTAGTACGAGAAATGATAAGCGGGTCTCTTCTCGATCTTATTGTTCTTCGTCTCAAGCATAGGTGTGGTTCAATTCTCAAAGACTCCTTTCACGACTAAGTAGAAAAATGGCTAATATCTCTCTCTTGAGGTCAATCAGTCATCATCTACAACGAAAATACAAAACAAATCCAAACCATTTTGTGCGCTCGAGCACCTTTCATTTAAAAAAACCTTTTCAGGTAGGGACATGATTAATTTACTTCTGTGCCAACGCATAAGTCTCCAAAGGTCGAGCTGCGGCAGAAGGCGGAATTAACTTCGTCCGTAAAAAACACAAACAAATAAAAAAACATGTGAGCCGAACTACGGTAGCTCTGATTCCTCAAAACGGATACGTAGGCATTGGGGTAGGGCCCAAGCAAGCACAATTTTATTTTCCCTACATTCTTTTCTCTTTTCTTTTGCATGCATTCCTTTCAGTAGTATAATAAACAGTAAGCATAGACTAAACACACCCATAAGATAGACAACAAGAATGGATACCGTAGAGTACTACAGGCGTGTGGGGTGCTAATACCTTCCCCTCGCGTAACAGACTCCCTTACCCAATCTCTCGGTCGCAAGACCGTGACTTCTCCCTTCTCAGGTTTTCTCGATGTTTACCTTTCCCTACATGTGGGATAAAAGACGTTCGATGGCGACTTCATTGTTTGATGATTTTCAGCCGGTTGTTTCACATTTGTCTTTGTTTTTTTTATGTTCTTGACCAAGACCACTAATTAGTCTAGGATCATTATTTCCTATGTCATTGCTTGGTCATTTATTAAGGTCTTTCTCTTCTCTTCCTTCGTCTTGTGTTTGTCTGTTGTTTAACATAGTCCTCATGTCCTTTATCCGGGTATGGGTATGTTCTGTTTGGGTCTAGGTCTATTTGTCACCTTTTGGAAAAACTTGGGGTGAGAGGAATTGTTCATATATTGATAAATTTGAAGGTCAATTTTTGCAATTGTTTCTGCAAAAAAAAAGTCAAATAGAATGTCCTATTCTTGTTTGGTATTGTTTGAGTGTTTTGCTTTTGTGTCTTGTGATTCGAGTTATGAACACAATTGTGTCTTGTGCTCTGAGTTACCCAGGGGTAACAGTAAGGTCCCATGTGTCTTCCAATGGGTTGTTCTGGTACATGGTTGGGTGATTCTTAAGTTTTCTCTTGTGCTCCTTGAGAGGAAGATTTGACCCCCTGTGAGGAGTGGTTATGGATTAAGGGGGAGTATATTCAGCCTGTGAGGAATGTTTATGGAACCAACATCATCATGTGTTGGCCGTAATGGATTAGTTCGGTTGAACATGAAGAGGAGTTGTCTGTGGTGGCTGAGCTTTTGAGTTTGGAATGGAAATGTTTATAGTTGCTATAAAGATATGTTGAATGTGATGTCTCGACATCAAACAAATTGTGGTGGTTACCTCTTGTTAAAAACCTTTGTCATATTTTGGCTAAAAAGTGGGAGAGAATATGTGTTGAGATTCTCTTAGGAAACTTTTAAGGGGGGGGGGGGGGGGGGAGAATATGTTGGACTATCATGAAAAAGTCATATTATTGATGGTGTGACATCATGTGAAGACAAGGAAGACTGAAGACTATCAAAAGTGAAGACTAAAGACTGACTGCTTCTGATGATTGTAGTTTAATGGTTGTTGTTGTTTTGTATTATTTAAACCTTTGTTTTATTATGTTATTACTTTTGTATTCAAAGGTTATGTAAATTAGTTTTAGCCAAAATAAGCCAAATGGGGGTGATTGTTAATTCTCTGAATTATGTGATTGACATTATGTTTGGTAAAACTAATATAGCAAAAATATGTTAGATAGGGTATGCTAACTTGCTAATAGTGAAAGTTGTTCAGAACCGACCAAAATCAGTATAAACCGACGAATTGGAGATTTTAGAAAACTGACAGATTAAATGCTTGTTTTTTTTTCTCAGGCAAAACAATGTCGTTTTGATAATTTTTAAATAAAATAAAATTAAAATATAAGTAGACTTTGTTCAAAACTTATTTGGAATAACTTTCCTTTTTTGAAATTAAATTTATTAGACGCTGAACTTATTTTGTTATTCAGTTTATGTTTCAAATTAAACATTGTTTAAAATTTATTTTAATTTGTATTTTGTACTATTTTGTTGTGTGTGATGATTATGTTTAGAATTTAAATTTAAAGAATGAACTTGTAAAATTAATATATTTTTAAATTTTGAAATACGGTAGGTGTCGTGATCTTTTTTTATAGATCGAGTCATCTGGTTTGATTGTGTTAATTCTCTGAATTATGTGATCGGCATTATGTTTGGTAAAACTAATATAGCAGCAATATATTAGATAGAGTGTGCTAACTTGCTAACAAGAATAGGTTGAGTAAGAAGTCATATCTTATGTTGAGACATGTTGAGTTGAAGTATTTCAATATCTGGAACAACATGTCAAATCAGATGTCCTATGAATGAGCATACGAAATCGCGCCTAAGCTGAACTGACTATTATATTCTATTAAGTCACAAAAACATAATATATTTTAAGGATACTATATTATCCTATATGGTGCTATTTTATAGGTCTGTTGTACCTCAAAATTTGCCCTCCCATTTCTCTCAACATTTTCTCATCACAAGGCCCTTGGAGCTCAAGATCCAGTTAGGGTTTCCTCTGCAAGACCTCTCCTAGCACTGTTGACCCAAATTAGGGTTTGTGTTTGCACAAAGATATTTTGACCTAAAATGCCTAAGATGACTTTCATGCTTCATGTTGGACTCCCAAGTTTATCCATACCAAGTTTCGAGCCTTGATTCCAATCTTTGCCCAATCAATTGGACAGTTGACCTAGAAATCAGCTGTATTGGGGAAAAAGTCAACTGTGGCCAATTGACAGTCAAACCTCATGAAAATTGACCCACATCAACATTATGAACTCATATGGACCACTTGATCAAGTTTGGATCACAATTCCACAAGAAATTTGATCAGATCACCAAAAGGGCAAAATGGTCATTTTTAGGGTTTTGACTGCACAAAGGCAATTTTTGACTGTTTGACCAAGCCAATGGCAAACCAAGCTCACATATGGACTCAAGGACTCAATGGAATTGTCTTGACATGTTCAACAAGTTCAAAAGATCCCAAATGCACAAGATTGACAGTTGAATTTTCCAGTCAATTGATCAATTTTTGACTGTATACTGAAAAGTCAAACTTTGACTTTTTGGTCAAAATCAAGTGTCAAGATTCATTTTTCATCAAAACATGCCAAATCATGAAACTTGTTCATCAAGAAATCAAGAATTGCAAATTAGGGTTTGAAATGAAGATTTTTCATAACTTAGAATTTTTCTAAGTTATGAAAAACCCTAATTTTTTCCTAACTTTGTCCCACTTTCTCATCAAGATGCATTTGGATTCAAGGAAAAGTCAAAACATGAAAGTTGTAGTCCATTGCAAAAT